ACACCACTTCATAGACTGTATCAACGAATGGTGGTTTCTTATTCGTTTTATTATACGAGAGGGACAGGCGTGGCAGCATCGATTCTAGGAGGCAGCGGAAGGTCGCACTTCAAGGGAATGCATACCTGCGAGCTGACTTAGTAACCCTCCACGTGCGACGTTATCCTGTCTATAGAATCTAAATGTGGAAAGCGTATCGGGGTTTCAGAATTCCTGCGACACTCTTTCGACTCCACGCCGTTTTGATCTTATATGCAAAACTTAGGCAAAGGAAATCCATCACTATCAGAATAAAAAGCCCACAAGTTATTCTGACCAATCGCTGACCATACTGGCCCAGCTTCCGCATTCTGTAACAATTCTGATACTATACGATCCAGATAGGTAAATTTATATACTTTAAAAATATACCTATCTTAATACTTTATTGCTATTAAAATTTAATACTAAGACACAAAGTGAGCAAATGCGGGTGGTAAAAGTCTACTGACTTGATCGTAGGAGTGCCACGAACATTCAATTTGTTAAAAAGGTCAATAAAAGACAATAAAACGAGGTATGCCTACATGTTGAGTACCAAAACCTTTTCTTTATGTAACGTGTCCCTTCAGGACGTAAGCAATAATGGCGCTCCACAACTTCCTGTCTTTGTAGCTCTTAATAAATTTTGTCTGTTATTTCTTCTAAACCCTCATAGTTTAATTCTGTACAAGTTTAGAAGTGTTAACAATTTAGCAAGGATTGAAATCATTATCAATGATCTTTGAGGCGCCTGGCAAGTATTGAGAATTTGGGGAAATACCACAAACAACTTGGTACAGATATATATGATGCGACAGAACGATAAAAAAGAAAATCCTATGTGATGTGTTTCGTTCTTCAAAAGGACTTCTTCAGATTAAATAATGTTGCTATTGTTAGGATCATACATATGTAGGTGGGGGGGAGGTCACAAAGTTGAATGTTGCTTATAATTATACATTGTGTCATTCAATTACCTACCATTTGACTCAAGCTCATTATTTCATGCGTTGTTTTTCTCTTTCTCACTCGCCTTCAATCTGTCCTGTGAGTATCAGATTTTCTAAGCCCTCCTTCCTCATTATGTACCCCAGAAATATCAACTGTCTCTTTTTGATGTTAATATAAGTTTATTTTTTGTTTCCATTGTCTCTAAAACTTTGTCATTGCTTACATATTTGGTCCAGTGTATCCTCAGCATCCTTCTGTAGAACCATATTCTATTGCTTCAAGTCTCTTCTTCATCTTTGAGAAGATTGTTCAGCACTCACTGCCATACTCGAGGACAGATATCATGTAACATTTTAGTACTCCTTTCCCTTTCTAGCGAATAGTAATTAGCTGTATTAGTCATGAACTAGTTAAGAGTATGAAGAAGGCCGCCCCCACTGGGTACCACTTTTTTCTTTTAGCCTTGTCCTGCATTTTTAGTCTTATGCAAATAAATATGTTGTACTGGAAACAACACATAAGTACACGTCCCAGTAATAGATATGGAGGCGGTTAGGAATGCAAAGGGTATATATATCTAGCTTTAGTTAAGATGAAGTCATGACGGTTACATGACTGTCGGCAAGTGACGTGAGTTCGTGGGGTGACAAAAGTGGAGTTTCTATTTAGCATATATAGAGTCAGTTCAGACCAGTTGCTGATGAAAGATCGCTAAGACGCTAGACCCCATCTCAAGCCCACGGCAGAAGGGAGAACAGAAGCGCTCATATTGGTACCTTGAAATTGGTAGAACATATCATAGGCCTGGTTGTTTTATTTTCGGGAAATATTACAAGTAAGACCTTCTCGCTTCTTGCCTTTCAACTCTGCTCGTTTTATTCAGATGTTACAGTTTCTCTTTGTGGGAAAAATTAGTGACAAGTATTTATATATTTGTATATACTTTCTTGTATTACATTATGACCAGTATATAAAATCATTTTGAGAATAATGCATATTTGTTATTCTTTTCTTTCAGCTATTCTGTTCCGCCCATACCCATACATTAAGGTGTTACTATACCATGAATATAATAATGCCTGGAATGAGGAAATGTAAACTGAAAATATTCTTTCTTGCCTAGCACCCCCGTTTAGAGATTATGATATACGGTGATGGTATTATTAGCTGTTTCCTTATAAGGACATATTCAGCAGTCATTCGCCAAGCAGCCAGTGCTGTTTTTATTTGAAAATTATAAAATTTTTCAATTAAAACAACCTTTTTTTAGGAAAATAAGTTTCTCAACCTCAGTAACTGTTATTGTTCTTTCCAGTATTGATGGAGGTTTCCTTCCTAACCTTTTATTTGAAGTAGTGTGGAATGTCAACATCTTGATTATATCATTATTTCATCTTTCAGCAATATCAATTTTTGGTTGTTGCTTCGGTTGAAAGTCCTTAAGAGTTGTGGTTTCTATTATCTGGTATAATTTTTGTGATTTTGCACGAGGTTAGGAAAACAGTGTTTCTTGCTGAGACTTACATGCTTCATTCACAACAACACATTTTTAACCATTGATCTGGGTGGTTGTATATAGCTGACAGTTGAGATATAAACTCTATACATCAAATAATTGGTGGGTAATTAAATGACACAATGTATAATTATAACCAACATTCATTTGTATTTTGTAACTTTCCCTTATATATATGATCCTAACAATAAAAACATTATTTTGTGATGCCAACGAATACTCGTTGACACCTTTGTAATGCTCGTTGTAGTAGAGTCTTGTAATAGCAGATACAACTATAGTACGCCATTGAACAATACTGGTGTCAGATGCCTTTGAATAACACTCGCACTAATAGTACTTGCTCGAATAGTAATCACCATAGAGTGATCTAAATAGAGACATAGTATAGTGAATAGAGTAGAGAATAGTGGTCCGTATAGTAATAGAGGATAGACTAGAATGGAGATCAATTAGACGTCACGTTACCTTCCTTATATGCGCTTCCTCTATGGCCATATGGTCTATTTAATTTAATAATGGGATCGCCTGTGTTTGCTCATTGGCGATCTGTGTTCAAACTAAAGTCGGCAGCGACACTTTATTCCTATATGACATTATTTAATCTGAAGAAGCCCTTTTGAAGAATGAAACATGTCACATAGGATTTTCTATTTTGTCGTTTTATCCGATCATATATATCTGTACCTACTCGTCTGTGGTATTTTACTGAATTCTAAATACTTTCCGGGTGCTTCAAGGATCATTAATAGTGATTTCGATCCTCACTAAGTGATTAATACTTTTAACCTTGTAAAGAACTAAGCTATGATTATTAGTTCGTTGTACTGACCTAGAAAGTCAAGTTGGGAAATCAAAAGTGAACCCTGTTTGCCATATTATATGTAGATGTTTTATTCAGGATTTCGACTGTTTGTCTGGGTGGGTAGGTAGGTAGAGGATAACTTCTGCTATGCGAGCACTTCCCCCCTACCAACTCATCGCTCACCTTCTCATCCCAACGCGGTGGATAATAATATGAGATGGAGGCTTTGGAACCGCTCGATGGATCTCCCCGATCCCAAACATGACTGTTAATATAGACCATGACCTGGATATACTCTATTTCCGGTTTTATTGTCACTTGATCTCCAAGAACTCCTTTATTTCTCATTCCCCTTCAGTTAAAGTGGATCCCGCTTAGAAGACCAAACTTCAAAATGAACCTCCCGCTGGTCCATCAAACAGAAACGATCGAGATAAAACAACCTCATCCCTTTCTATGTTAGTGTCCATAGTATCACAAAAATCATTTTCGATACTAAAAACTTGTCTCAATTCGAATACAATGATAGAGTGTAGAAGCATTGTGATAATATATATATGGAAATAGTTTGAAAAATAATTCCCTGAGACATTGTTTTGAACAGAGTGCAAGTCGAAGAGTAAAACATTTCGTATTAGAAATTCGAACAAAACAATGATGGCGGAAAAGTACAGAAGCCAAAAGCAGAATAAATTTTCCCACAGATTTAAGGTTTAATAATAATAATAATAATAATAATAATTCTATTATAATTGTGTTTGTCTCTCCCTGCGTTAGTTCACACAACAGTTACGCATTGCCAATACCTAATAAATAATGGATTATTCCGTTTTGATCGTATGGAAAGAGGGGAAAAGACACTACTTGGTTTCAGTGATAAAATGAAAGAAAGAAGGAAAGGAAAGGAAGATAGAAGTGTTTAACATCAACAGTCAATACCTCATAAATAACAGACTATTCCGTTTTGATGGCGTGAGAAGAGGGGAAAGACACTACTTGGTTTCAGTGAGAAAATGAATGAAAGAAAAAGAAAGGAAGGAGGGAATATAGAAATGTTTTATGGCTGTTTCAGTGAAATATAAAAAGTTGTCAATTTGAAATCATTTCATTTGTACTTCCTTAAAATAACGACCAGAATTCATATTTATGATTTGTTATTACAATATTTTGTTAAAGTTGTTAAGCTCAAATATTTAATGATGCGATGAGGGAACTTCTATGGATATTTTATTGTTGTAGAACTCACCATGAACTTACTCAATCATTAACATAAGAATTACGTTTCATCAGAATATTAAAATAGGAAAACCGTGAAATTTTCACGGGTTAAAACTAATAATAATAATAATAATAATAATAATAAAAATACTTTTCTATAGAAATTTAGCATGAATATCGCATTTGTTGTGGTCAGTAATGTTTTTGCAACTTATAGCCGAAATGTTTTCCCTTTAATTTAAATGCTATGTCCCTTCAGAATGTAGACGATCATGGCTCCCCACTAATTCTTATATATTTTTTCAATTACCGGAGATTTTGTTTTAATCATTTCTCTCCAAACAAGGCGATAAAGCCACTAAGACGGAAGGAGATACTGGGATTGAAAGAGAATGAGAAGACTTTAGAAGGAACCGGAAACCCAATCCTAAACATAGATAGATAGGAACAGACTATGAATCATTGATAGATACTTAGATATGTACAGACTAAGATAGATAAATATGAACAACCCTAAAATACATAGATATGAACAGACTAATGTAGATAGATAGATAGATAGACATGAACAGATTAAAATAGATAGGAACAGACTAAGGTAGATACATCAATAGATATAAACAGAATAAAATATATATGGACTAAAATAGATTGGTAGATATATATGTACAGACTGAAAAAAATAGATATGAACAGACTAAACGATAGATATGAACAGATTAATATAGGTAGATAGATGGATATGAACACACTGATAGAAAAAATAAACAGACTGAGATACATCGATAGATAGATATAAACAGACTAATGTAGATAGGCTGTTCATATCTATCGATGAAAAGTGTAAGATAAATAGGAACAGATTCATATAGATATGAACAAAAGATAGACATGAACAGAGTATGATAGATATAAACAAAGATAGATATATAGACAGATAAATATGAACAGACTAAGATAGATATGAATATACTAAGATAGATCGATACACAGATAGATATGAAGAGACTAAGATAGATCGATAGATAGATGAATATGAACAACCCTAAAGTACATAGATATGAACAGGCTAATGTAGATGGATGGATATAAACAGATTAAAACAGATATGAACAAACTAAAGTAGATAGATATAAAAAGAATAAATAAGAACAGACCAAAATAGATATGAACAGACTAAGATCGATCGATCGATCGATCTATAGATAGATAAAAACAAACAAAGACAGATACATATGAACAGACAAAGGGAGTTCCATAGATAGATATAAACAGACTAATATAGATAGTCTGTTCATGTCTATCGATCTAAGATGAAAAATGCAAGATGGATAAAAACAGATTCAGATAGATATGAACAAAGATAGATGAACAGACTAAGATAAATATATATACATATGAACAGACTAAGATATATAGATAGATAATGTACAGACTGTCTATCGATCTATCTTCGTCATACTCATATCTATCTATCGATCGAATTTAGTCTGATATGAAGAGACTAAGACAGATAGATATATACAAAGATAGATATGTACAGACTAATATAGACAGATATGAATAGATTAAGATAAATCGATACACAGATATGAAGACACTAAGATAGATCGATAGATAAATATGAACAACCCTAAGATACATATATATGAACAGGCTTATATTATATATATATATATATATGTGTGTGTGTGTGTGTGTGTGTGTGTGTGTGTGTGTGTGTGTAGATTGATAGATATGAACAAAGGTAGATAGATCAATAGATATGAACAGAATAAAATAGATATCAACAGACTAAGATTATAGATAGATATGTACAGACTGAAAAAGAGTAGATATGAACATACTAAAATAGATATGAAAAGACTAATATACATAGATATGAACAGACTAAGATAAACATGAACAGACTGAGATAGATCGATAGATATAAACGGACTAATGTAGATAGATCGATAGATGTGTAGACTAAGATGAAAAGTGTAAGATAGATAAGAAGAACATAATCAGATAGATATATATGAACAAAGATAGACAGATATGAACAAAGATAGACGTGAAGAGAGTACGATAGATATAGACACACACATACACACACACACACACACATAAATATATATATTGATAGATATCAACAGACTAACATAGATAAACAGAGATAAACAAAGATATGAACAGATTATGATAGATATGAACAAACTTAGATACATATCAACAAGTAGAGGGAGATCGATAGATAGATATAAACAGACTAATGTAGAAAGATCGATAGATATGAACAGACTAAGATGAAAAGTGCAAGATAGAAAGAAACAGATTCAGATAGATAGATTGATATAAACAAAGATAGATAGACATGAACTGACAAAGATAGATATGAACAGATATAAAAAGAATAGACATGTGACATATATGAAAAGACTAAAATAGATACAAACAGACTAATATAGATAGATAAATAAATATGCATAGACTAAGATAAATTGATAGATATGAACAGACTAAGAAAGGTCGATAGAAAAAGAGATATGAACAGACTAAGGAAGATAGATATGAACAGACAGAATAGATAGATAAACACGGACTAATATAAATAGATAAATTAACAAAGACAAAGAGATAGATATGAACAGATAGATAAATAGATACTAATAGAGATCGATAGACAGATAGATATGAAGAGACTAAGATCGATGGATAGATATGAACAGACTAAGATAGAAAAGAACCGATTAAAATATGAGCAGACTAAGAAAGATCGATAGAGCGATATGAACAAAGGTAGATAAATCGATAGATATGAACAGACTAATATGAAAAGTGTAAGAAAAATAGGAACACATTCAGATAGATATGAACAAAGATAGATGAACAGACTAAGATAGATAGAGAAAGATAGATATGCACAGACTAAGATAGATCGATAGATAGATATGAATAGCCTAAGGTACATAGATATGAACAGACTAATGTAGATAGATGGATAGATATGAACAGATTAAGATAGATATATAGGAACAGATTAAAATATATATGAACAGACCAAGATAGATATGAACAGACTGGAAAAGGATAGATAGATAGATAGATAGATAGATAGATAAGAATAAACTTAGATAGATAGATAGATAGATATGAACGGACTAAGGAGAAATAGATATGAACAAATTTAGATAGATAAATAGATAATGCACAAGCTAAAATCAATATATTGATAGATATATAGATATATACGATTAAGACGAGGATAGATCGATAGATAAATATGAACAGCCTAGGCCCTAAGGTACAGATATAAACATAGTAATGTAGATAGATGGATAGATATAAAGAAACTGCGACAGACCGATAGATATATATATATATGGACACGCTAGGATACATAGATATGAACAGACTTATGTAGATAGAAACAGATTGCAATAGATATGAACAGACTGAAAAAGAATAGATAGATATGCACAGACTAAAATAGATTTGAACAAACTAAGACAGATATGAAAAGAGATATGTAGATAGATATGAACAGACTACGATAGTAATGACTAAATGCATGTTTATTTTTTGTGGTTTTTCCATGTCGACAGCGCGTCAAGTTAGATGAGACATCAACTATACCATTGGATTCTCATCCAACTTTACTTACATACATAGATCTGGACAGACATTATTATGCCGAAGCGTAATGGATATAGTATTTATAAACAAACAATCCCTTCAGCAAAACTAATCAACCATTTAGTAAAATGTCTCATTGACCAAAAATGCTTTAAAAAATTTTGAAATGTTGAACTGAACCTCACATCAATACAGTTCCTTAAAGACTTTTGTTCAAAGTGGTCGCATTTAGATTTAGAGTTCAAGGTTATAAATGTACAAGATGAATACGATATTATTGTGTTCTTTGTAGACCAATATATATTTAAGACGATATGTTCGACTTGCATGTTCAGTGCCTGTACCAAAATTTCTTCTTAAGCGATATGTGGCGTCTCTACACACCACCTCTCTTTCACATGTAAAAGCGAGAAGTGGGTTTTTAAGCTGGATTTTACTTTTATGTTGTGAGGATTATTACCACCTTGTCTGCTAAATTGCCCGCTAGGCGGCGCTGTTCAGGAATATAAAAGGACGGATCAAGAAACTCACTTTCTTATTTTGCTCCGAAACGTAGTAACAATAGAACTTCTTGCAGTTGAATATCTCTGGCAGGCTGGTTTTTTAATGTCAACCAGCAATGTGGCACATCACAGACACACGCGTATTTTATAATAGCAAAGGCTATGTTTTCCATCCTATTTATGGACACACAAGTATATATTTCTTCTCTTGAATTATGTTATTCTTTATATAAAAATATTAGATCATTTTCAAATTTTCGTGCCTGATTAGAAAATTAAAAAACAAAATTTTAGATACTGACAAAAGAAGTCGAGTACATAGTCTCCATCGTTTTATAATTGTCTCCCATTGTTCTACAAGTTTGTTGATGTCATTTTCGTGGAAGCTTCGTGTTTTTTTTATTGGCAGAAGATTGTGAGTGAGTTTTCGACTGACTGTACAGTGTCAAATTTTTGTCATTTAAATTCTTCTGTAGAGACTAGACCAAATGAAAATCCCGAGGAGCCAATGAATTTCCCATTTCAACTCTTTAAGCTTCTGAAAGGTCTATTTTGCAATATGCGTTCTTGCATTTTTGTACTGCCAAATGACATCTTTTCGATTTACCAAAATCGGCCTTTTTCCTTGAACTCAAGTCTCCTCAAATGGCCAAAGGTAGTGGAGATATCGAATTTCAATCTCTTAGCAATCTCTACCGTCGAATTCTTCGGTCTATTTTCCACAATGGCAAGCAGAGCGTATTCATTGACGTCGAGAGCTTGTCAGGGTCGTGGTTGATCGTTTAAGTTAAAATAACACTGATGAATTTGCCAGACAACTTTCCGACTGTCCAAAAAGGTGGAGTACCATCCAAAAAAACTTCTGGAAGTTTTTATTTTATTTTATTTTTTTTTTTATCACAGTTCTGACACTTACTCCTTTCTGAGATTCATAGATTATATGACGAAAGTGTAACTTTTCATCCTCCATCTTTAATTTTCTTTTTTATTTGTGGACAAAACATCAACATTCAACAAAGACTTACTCGCAACTGAATGATACAAAGTTTCAATCTAGAACACCCCAGAAATCGGCATCAAAACAAATGCTAATATCAAGTTGCAGTCATTTTAAATTAATAATGAAAATCAGACACAAACTGATGATCTGATAAAATAAAAACTTACCTACAAATGAAGACCTTGGGTGACCCTCAGACTTTGTATAGGGTGAACAAAGCCAAATCTCTTCAAATGCCAAAAGTTAGTGGATATATTGATTTTCAAGCTCTTAGCAATCTCTTCCATTCAAATCTTTGCTTTATTCTCCATAATATCAAGCAGAGCTTCTTCAGTGACATCAAAAGATCAGCCAGAGTGTACTTGATCATTTAGGTTAAAATCATCTTTATGAAATCTGCCAAATCACTTTTTGATCATCCAAAGGGATGGAACATGATCCAAATAAACCTTCTGAATGTTTTTGTTGCAGTTCCTACGATTACTCCTTTCCGAAATTCATAGAGCATAATATGACGAAAGTGCAACTTTTCAGCCTCCATCTTCAAGGCATTCATTTGTGGGAAAAACGTTGTAAATGACAGAAATTAAAATGCATAAAACGTACAACGATAACAGCATTAAAAACTTGGGACACATGTTGACATAAATAACAAGAATTTGTATTTTCTTTTTGTGATGTGAATTACAGAATATTGGTATAGGGTGTGTAAAAATGTTCTCAGTGTCTCTTTTGTTTAAAAGTCGATGCTTACTTGGTTTGGTTCCGAGAATTTCGTTTGTGAGGATGTTATTTGAAATCGTCTGTTTTTGATCTTCACGGAGTGCAGGCTAGACGTTTGTTTCTGTACTGCTACTTGTCTACCTATCATTGACTACTGCTACAGGTACCCTAGTCTGCTCTACTTTTCTCTACTGATCCTCTTGTGGTGGAAGGGCCTTTTGTATCATTAAATATCCTCCATTTCTATCATCATTGATAGCAAGGTTATTTTTAGAATGATGAAATATCATCATTCTGGACCATAACAACGTCATCATTCAACAAAGTCTGATTCACAACTAAACGATGCAAGGTTTCAATCTATAACATACCAGATATTGGCACTAAAACAAACACCAGGGTCAAATTGCGGTCATTTTATATTAATAATGAAAATCAGGCACAAACTTTTGTAATGATCTGGTATATATGGAAAACTCCTCCACGTACTGAATTTATTTCTTTTGAAAAGTTGAATTTATTCTGAAATTTTTATCCTCATCATACCGCCATAAAGTGGTGACCTAGTACAACCACGTTCAATACAAATTGAAGCACTACACACTGCGGTGGAATGACAATGTTGACATCGTCGCAGAAATACGGTTTATGTGGCTTTTAGTAAGGCTTTGCGCTTATTTGTTAAATTCAAATGGCTGGGGCAAGTCAATCACGCAAGCCACAAACTTGAAATAATTTTTCTTATTGGTAGGAAAATTTGAAAACCCTTGCTGTAATAATTATAATGTTATTAACGAAAAATATTGTGGCCAAATCTCTTGGTCGCAACACAGAAAAGAATATGACTTGATGCATATAAACAGACTGAGATGAAAATACAGTTAGGGAGCTAGATAGATAGATATTTGTAATGATGCCATGATACTTTGGAACGAATGTGATCACAACTCTATACGGGTTCTTTTTTCTTTATTATCTGTGGGTTGCTATGCATTCTTGGGAAATCACCTTCTCTGCTATTTGGAATTCAAAGTTTTTCTGTTCTTTGGTTACTATCAAAGGTTAGAAAAGCCAGTTTTAACCGACTATTTAGCTCATAGCTGATGGGAGAAGAGATGGGTTCATGCCTTTAAGAGCATCTTTAAGACATAAGCGATCATGACTCTCCACAGATTCCTTTTCTTTACTATCTGTGGGTTGCTATGCATTCTTGGGAAAGATAGTAAAATGATTTCCCGTTGCTTTCTCTACACTTTTGAATTCAGAATTTGCTTTTTCTTTGACGGAAAAAGAGATAACAGTCTGACCCATAGAAGAGACGGATACATGATAATGGTAATATTAGCCGTTTCCCTACAAGGAAACATTTAACTAACATCCATTGACCGAACAGACAGTATTGTTTTCAATTGAAATTTATAAATTATTTCGTTTAAATTATTTTTTTCAGGAAAATAGGTTTTTCAAGTCCAGTAGTTATTATCGTTCTTTCCAGTATTGAGGGGGTGGGGGGGCTTTCCAGTACTGATGGGGGGTCCTTTCCTAACGTTTTATTTCAAGTAGAGTGGAACGTTAATATCTTTATTATGTCGTTATTTTCTCTTCGAGTTATATATGGTATCCATTTTAGTTGTTGCAGCTGTTGGTAGTCATCTAGTGATGTGGTTTCTTTTATTTGGTACAGTTCATTGTGATTTTGTAACACCAGTTCACACTACCTTTCCCAAGAGCATAAAAGTACGAAAGTCGATACACCTGGCTAGATCGGAATTTGAACTTGTCAATCCTCGCAGATAGATAGATGAAAAAGATAGAGGGTTGTTAAAAAAAAAAAGTTCTAAATCTAGTTACAAAACAATAAGTGCAATAAATAAAATAAAAAGCCAGAAAACATACACAAAAAAACAGTTCAAAATAAGGTGGAAGCTATATTCAATATTGTCATGTCATGTATACAGACAAAAATAAAATTTTTAAAAAAATCCATTGCTTCTCTCTTCTTTCTGGGAAGGTGGATTATTCGATCAGAAAAATTTAAAGAAAATCTGTTGTTCTCAAGAATTTGTCGAGCAAAAAGATCTTTTCAAAGGACCTGAAGACAGCGTACATATTTCTTTACACACACGTGTGTTTAATTACATACGCACACAAATAGTTACAAAAGTTTTTTTAAACAAAGTTTTTATTATTTATTTATTTATTTTTGTGTAACTGACACGCGCAAAAATTGTAGGTAATCTTAGCATGAGTTAGTTATTACAATATCTCATGTGTGGGGTCATCCACTTGTCACAATAGTCATGTGTCGATCGGCTAATGCAACATTACGAGCCACTTACTTCATAACGAGGCAACCCACTGTGTATGTCGCTAACTATGAAAAACGTCACTCCGACGATTTTTGGCCGCACCCACCGGGAATTTCCAAGCAAGTCTCAACATGTTGACTGCTGCTGCTGCTGACGCCGTCACTACAAAAAGCCGGCCGCGCTGAAGGCAACTTCATTTCAACGAACAGCGTTAACATAACAAGCTAAAAACTTTTTCACGCGAAATTTGGAAAAGCAAAGAAAAAAAACAAACAAATTGATCGAAAGTTTGAAAAAAAAAATCATCTATTTAGTAAAAAATAATTTGCTTTCGTTGAATACCATAAAAATGAGAAACCAATTTGAATTATATAGCATTTTCCCAGGTGCTTTTCAAAAAGATCTGTCCTTGGAGGGATCTTCCGTTTCTACATTAGACAATGATGTCAAAAGAGCTGTGAAAACTTGCAGCGAAAGTGGTACTGTGTCGGACATGCTGAAATTGGAATTAAAAA